CTGTGAAGTGCGATAATCGCCTATTCCAACGTTGCCAAGACCAACGTTCAAGACAACATACGGTTCGCCAGAACCCAACTATGTCGACAAGCAGCGTGAATTCACATTCAGAGGTAGAAGACATGCAAATTGATGCGGTACGTGTCAAATCTCTTACTCTAGAAGAAAAAAAGCGGCGTATGGAAGATGGTCTATTCTTGTATTGCGGTGAAGAAGGCCACAAAGTTGGAAACTGCCCCAAGAAGCAAAATCGATGTATTATCAAGACTAGGGGTGCGTTTATTCAGGAAAACGAAGATGCCCAGCCACAATAGGAACCGTGCGGCTGGACAGTGAAATATCGCAACAACAACCAGGTTCCTTTCTTTCCGCTCAACCTGCCCTTTGTTTTACAATCCCTTTGCTTATTGGCCATCAAAAACTGAGAACCTTAGCATTATTAGATTCAGGAACATTTGCTTGTTTTTTAGACGAAGAATTCGCAAGGCATCATAAGATCCCTTTAGTACAAAAATCCAAACATGTTCACGTTGAGGTCATAGATGGAGGACCTTTATTGTCTGGTAGTGTCACCTATGAATCAGAACCTATAGAAGTGTCGTTTAAGGACCATAGTAGTCATATTATTTTCAATATTATTAGAACCCCATCAAATCCTATTATTCTTGGTCTTTCCTGGTTGGAAAAGCATAACCCATCCATAGATTGGAAGTTGCGGAAGATGACCTTTCCCACAAAACCACCCAAAAGCAAGCCTAGTAGAAAATCCCGAATAGAGAAATCCTTATATATTGGAGGAAGAGCATTTATAAGATTGTCCAAGGAAGGCACACCGTTTGTCATTTATGCAGCTCCAACTACTTGGGAGAAGAACTCGACAGCAAGTATACCGGAGCAATATAAGGATTTTAAAGACGTGTTTCAAAAGAAAAATGCCAACATGCTACCAAAACACAGACCATATGATTGTGCCATAGACTTACAGGATGGAGCACAACCACCTTTTGGCCCAATCTACAATCTATCGCAGATGGAGTTGGCGAAGTTGCGGAAGTACATTGACGAGAATCTAGCCATTTAAAATATTTTATCTTAAATAAATATATCAAAAAGGCTTAATTTATATTTTGTAAATTTTATAACTATGACTATCTTACCTTTAAAATAATTTTTAAATAAGTGATATTTTAATTTTAATTAAATTATCTCATATAAATAAATACATATATATTAAGAAATAATAAATAGATGAAATCGTCATTGTCATTATTTTGGTTGAAAGAATAAAGAATTCTTTATTTTGTAAAAAGAAATTTGTATAGATAGATAGATATAAATCATGTTAATTATTCTATACCTATAATTTATTAAAGTATTTGATTTTTTAAAAAGATTATTTTAGAAATATTTTATTATATTATGATTGTATAGATATTTTAAGTGATAAATTGTTTGATCAAATTTTGTAATAGAATTAGTTATTATATTTTAATTCAATAGAACCTTAAATTATGTTATTTTTATATTTAAAAAAGTAATTTTTAATATTCCTTAGAATGTACAACTTGATTTCTAAATAAATAGAATTATAAATTGAATTAGCAAATATTGAGTTAAGTTTTGATAATATGTATGGAAATTTACATAAAAATATTTATTGATATAAGGTTGGTGAATCAAACAAGGTTATGTTGAATTCTCTCTTATAATATTATGACCTTTCTTCTTATAGATAAATCAAAAGGATTTCACACTAAAAAATAAAAGAAGTAAAAACTTTGATTAATAAAATTATTGTTTACAGTGGATGAAGGAAAAAAAGATATTCATTTTTAAATTATTTTCTATACTACTTAGGAATCGGTACAAAGGTAGTACATTAAAAATTCTAAAACTAAAATTTTAAAACCAAAATTTATACTTTTAGTATAAAGCTTTTTATTAGTGATATCATCTTATTATAAGTACATTTATAAATATGTTGATTAATAATTTAATTTAATTTTTTTTGGATTTTTATGCTAATTAATTATTATAGTATTTATATTAGTTATATGACTATACATATATAACTTTTAAAAATAACTACAAGAGATAATAATAATAATAATAAAATAATTTAATTTAATGATTTTTTAATTTTAAACCAATAAAAAAATCTATTTATCTGAAATAATACTAAAATAATTTTAGAAAATAAAACACTAAAAACCATATATATAATAGTCATTTATTTTATTTAATTATATATATATATATATATATATATATATATATAAGAAAAACATGTTCATCAATTTCTTAAAAATAATTTTTCCTTTTTCATCACATTATGCAACAAATTCATACTAATAAAGGATTTTTATGTAAATATTTTTATCTATATTAAAAAAAATTAATATTTGGAATTTTCTTACATGTCAAATAAACCTAACATAAGATATATCTATATTTTTAAAAAGTATTTATTTTTTTTATAGTATCTTTTCTATAATTTAACCATTCAACTATATTATAACTTTTTTTTCAGAAGAATTCATTTCATACTTAAATATCTCATTTCTTCAAATTATTAAAAAATAATTTTAATTTAACTTGTATTTTTGTTTTGCTGTAATTAAAAATATTGTCTAATTTTCCACCATATTTATAAATTTTAGTTATGTTTGATGTAATAAGGTGATTTTTTCATAATAATTATCATATTATAATAGCAATTTTATTAAAAACTTACATATTTCATTTACATATTTTTTCTATTTATTTGAAAAAAAATTATAATCATGATTTATTACCATGTTTATGTTATATATATTTAAAATAATAATAAGTTATTTAAAAAAAAATCTCTTTCAATAATATATGTAATATGAAATTTATTATTGAGTATATTATATTTTATTATTATGTCCTTTACATGATAGTAATAATAGACAACTATAAATTTATACTTATCATGATAGCAGCCATTATTAAAATTTGCTTGTATGATAGTTTTCCATTTAATTTTAGAAATTTATTTTTTGTATTGGATGTAGAAATAGTAATAAATATTTCTTTCTGTAGTAAGACTAATTAATGTGATGTCATTATCTTCTAAGTTTTATATAACTATAATAATAAAGTTTTATATTTTTAATTAAATCTATTGTTTACCTAGAAATTTAGATGCATGAAAAATTTTCTTGGATATTTTTATGCAAGTCACTAAATATCTTTGAAAATATATTAAATCATTTAGTTAATCTCATGCATTTACATGACGTTTATCTAAAAATCAAATTATTTAAAGGTTTAAAGAACTATAAATATTATTTTTGTTAAAAAAAAAAATCAATGGTAAATGAAATTGTACGATGCATTTAAGTACTTGGATTAGATAAGTTGCTTTTTAGACTTTATAAAGCATTTACAATAAGTAGAAGAATCCAAAATTGTAGCTAGTGGCACAATTAATATTTGATTAAATTATTTAGTTTAAATACTTGTGGTTTATTAGTATTTAATTAAATAAAATTAAATAATTTTTTTTTTACCATTCTAGTAATTATTATGTTATGAGTTGAAATATAATCAATTTATCTATGTTAATATGTTGATAATCTAATTTATGAACTTCTCTATAATCTTTGTATGATATTAACGAAATAAATTTGATTCTATTATTATATAATAAAATAAAATAAAAAATAAAAATATGATGATTTTATATTAAAAATAAATTAGTTCAATCTTAAAATATTATTACTATTAAAACATTATAGATAATATAACAGTAGAGATTTTTTTTTTGTCTATATTTGATTGAATGGATAAAATATAGAATTCATTCAATCAATTCAATTTTTTTTTCTTTACTTCATAATCTTCAATAAAGAAGATTCAATTTGATGAAACAAAGAATTTTGCATTAAACTAGGGTGTTGATAAGATTATGAAGGTAATTAATAATCTATTAAGATGGATTGGAAGACATTGGTATATAAGAGTGGCGTAATTCAAACAATGAGATAGATATAATCTCACAAATTGTAAAATATGTTAGCATTAGATAAATAACTTCATAGCAATATTTTTTACAAATGAATAGTTGATTTTATGTTATGTTAACTACCTTGTAGAAAGTTCAAAGATTTCAATAACACAAAAATAATCATAAAAGACCTTTATGAATCTTGATAATAGGGATTTTAAATATGGCACTTTTGTAAAACCAAATAATTGGAATTTAGGACCTGATATTTACTTACAATATGAAATCCAAAATATCACTGTTAAAACTTTATTATTCCATGATATTATCCCCTGATTCAAACTTTATTATCCCCCTTGGTATAGAGCCAAAGAAAGAAGAGAGCTTAGACGAGCATCACAGTTTTTGATATTTATCCCAACCCTCTTTTGATATTTTGATTTCAAAACCACCCACCTTGTGAGGTGGGTGATTTGGTGAAGTATGAAGTGATATTTCAAAATATCATGGGATACTTTGAGCTTGCATCACAGTTGAAATATCACTCAAAAAGGCCATGTTGAAAACTCCCAATGAGAAGATTTCCAAACCATGAAAGAATCGTCTAGAACATTCATCAGCTAGACAAGGTTTGAAAGCATGAAATATATTTGTCAGCTGTGTAAAATTTCTCAAGCATCTAACAAAGCTATTACTTATGTAAAGTTGATGAAGCATCTAGAAATTTTGGCACGCCCCCCTGCAATCCAGAAGTTGGGGTTGAACGACATCATAAAATCTGAAGAGGTTGCCAAGGCTTGAATTATGGGAGACGAATCAACTCGTTGAAATCAATGAAAAAACTCGTTGGTTTCGATGAATTCCCTCGTTCGTTTAGATGAATGACCTCGTTGGTTGCTCTGAAGCTGTAGTGCAGATTCATCCTTTGATTGCGTTGCCTTCAGCGCTTGATGGCAATGTCCTAAAAAGGGACAAAGATCTGACTGCGGATGAGTTGTCTCCTTCGCGGGGCTCGCACAATCACAAAAGGGACGCCGCGGTTTATCGTAATCGGAAGCCTGCGGTCCTCCATGACTCTGGCAGCTTATCTGCTTCACCCCAATTGTCTTCTGGTGCTGGATATTCGACATATCCATTGCTAGCCGCTTGTTTTATAACACCTGCTGCTGCAATCCGAAATTTGCAATCCTGCTTCTTTCCTGTCTAAAGTGTTACACGCCTTCCCTACCGTAGTCGTTTTTTGCAGAGATTTGCCAAAGTTGCTAGCTATGGCCTCCACCGCCGCTGCGGTTTCCGTGCCCACTTTCACTGGCCTCAAGTCTGAGTCCAGGGCTGCCCCCGCTAAGGTGTCGTCCAACACCGTGGTGCGCATGGCTCCCGTCGTTCGGGCTTCGGCCAGCAGTGATGCCTTGGAGACCGTTGGAAAGGCTCTCATTGCCGCATCCAGCTCATTGTTGTTGGCTGCTTCCGCCAATGCCGTTACCGTGAAGATGGGTGCTGACGATGGTACCCTAGGTTTCTACCCTAACGCGATCTCCGTTGCCGCTGGTGAGTCCATTACCTTTGTGAACAACAAGGGTTTCCCCCATAATGTGGTGTTCGATGAGGATGCTGTACCTGCGGGCGTCAAGGTCGAGGAAATTAACCACGAGGAATACGCTAACGCGCTAAACGAGAGCTTCTCCATCAACCTCAAGACCCCAGGAACATACGAGTTCTACTGCGAGCCCCACCAGGGTGCTGGCATGAAGGGACAGATCACTGTGTCATAGAGGGTTTGATTTGTTGTCTTCTCTTCCATCAATGGCTGTGGTATCGCTCTGTTGATGAGGTAGCTATGGCGGTATGCAACCATGCTAATTTTGAAAACACTAGCAACGCTCCGAGTAAGAGTTGGTCTTACAGAGCAAGCTCGTAACATATCCTGTATATTGGCTGACTTTGTTGTACTGATCCATCCTTTATAAATGATTATGGACAGATTTTAACATCAATGTCTAAGACTCATCTCTATGAATCCAATTGCATGTAATGTACCAGTCATTTAGGATCTCCTAGTTGATTCTCTTGCATATTCAATGGGCATTAGGCTCGTTACCGTCTTCTTTCACAGACGTGCATTAGATTCGAAATTTGGATATGATACCTCTCTTCATACGCTTCGTACAGATGGTTGGATCCTTGACGCATTACGTCTGAAATGAGGAAATCAGAGTAGTAGATTTAACATATGGAAAACTCAGGTCGTTAGACCTAAGTTTTGTTTGCTTAAACAGTACGGCGCACACGAATTGAAGAACCTAGTCGCTACTACTTAGATCCATCAAGTGAGGTCGTAGTTCGGAATGAACTAGTTGCTCACGAACATTTATAAGTCTACTCGCTTGATCGTTTAGTATTCGCAGGCTAATGACAAGCGGGACAGAATTGAAATATTTGCATTGTGATGTTCAGCCTCGTTGTCATTCCAATGTGCCGATAAACGTGAACACTAAACGAGAGTGGAATAAAACCACATGTAGATACTGTCGGAATGAGCAATTAAATATCAGCACCTTTGTAGCGTTTTGTGTACCTCTTTGTTGTAATCAAGCGAGACAATGTGTAATGTGCAAGCTTAGTCTGTTTATAGATTGGATACTGCTTGTAACTGCGAGAACAATGCATTATTTCTACAGATGTCGTTACAGATGGGCTTCCAACTCCCCAAGCAATGCTTTCTTTCACATTTCGCAGTTACGTTGTTGGTTTATTTCAGCTTCTAATTTTAGCTGCGCAACCTTTACTTGAATTATACCCGCATTGTGCTAAATCATCTTTGAATTTCTAAATTCTTGATTGCATTTAATTTGATAGACCTGATTTTTTCATACTCTGCCGTTGTTTCGTGCTTTTTTAAAAAAAAAATTTATTGTGTCTTTTGCTTCCTCCACATTTTGCTTACGTTCTTTCCCTTCTTTTCAATCTGAGGAATTGTATGTTGTATTATTAAGAAGATTGATTTGTCAACCTCCAATGTTTAGTACTTTAATTAAACAAATAGTATCTTTGTATGTTCATCAAATTTGTGTGAAGACCTTAACAAATTAGTTGAAAATACGTTGACTTAATGCAAGAATTGATACATGGCACTTGACCAATCAAATGAAGCACCAGGGTAGTCCCACGTACATGACCCAAGTGTACAATCAATGCGAAGGACCTCACTAACAACCGATGAGCCCTCTTCATGAGCGTCTCACACAGCATCATCAGGTACTAAGCCTGAATCATTCACTCTAAAGGTTGACGAAGAAATGATCACAACCGGACTCTGGAGTGCCATTCTTTAAAAAAAACTTAGTACTCACAAGTTGAAAGAGATGTATGTCTCACATACATAAATAAGTATGTTCCCATGCTGATTGGATTGTCGGAATCTCGTCGGTAAAATGCATGCACACAATAGGCTTGCTGCTAGAGCTGTTCCATGGTCAGAAATGGCAATCTTTCTGTATTGCAAGCTGTCTCAAAGCTGAAAAACGAATTTCATGGCTTTTTCTAGTATTTGTTCCATTTTTCGTGCAATTTCAGCTTCAGTACTAGGTGTAGAATTCAGTTGTCCTGATCATATCTTCCATTTCATGCATTTGTCTCAGAAGCTGGAGCAGCCAACTCGCTGGAAGTGGTTGAAGATCGGAGACGCGATTAACTGGGCATGTTCTGCATAAATAACTTAAAGATGGAAGTTGATGGGATGAGAGAAACACTTATATTTCTTGAACATCAATTTTTGGTATGAACGTAATGAACACAGTGTTTTACTCTTTATTTTTTGAATTTTTTATAATTACCAATAGACTCTCACCTTATACTGGCACAATTCACTATTTCATGCCTGTCTAATTTCATTCCCAGCATAATTATATTTCCGTGCATTACCCGAATTCACTGGACCATAAATTATTGTTACAAGTTGCAAATTAAAAAGATCTGGGTATTTTGATGTGAAGGGATATATAAATAAACTACAATGATACAAAGCGCTGTTGCGCTAGAACTGCTCCGAATCACAATGAAGGTGTTGCAAATCGAGTACGGTTAATACTGTGGAGCACTCCAAGTAACGCTTACGTGCAAAAGGTAACAAGTCGCAGTTCTCGATTTCGTATCCGTCGACTAAGAGATTCCAACTCTTGCGGGGAAACCCCATGTACTTAGCAGGCATACGCCTTAACCACTCGGCCAAAGCGACTTGGTGGGTGTCCTCTGCTGTTTTCATAAGCTATTACAGTGATCAATCGGGGCTGATTAGGATCAACAGATACATCGATCTTTTCTGAAGAGTACATAGAACTCGGCAAAGATTTGACGTCAGATTTAAAGCATGCAACTTCGAAGATAATTTATCAAGACAGTAAAATCGCAACCTAATTGAACCAGCAGTTTTCAGGTCTTAAATAATGCTATCCTATTTAACTTATATCCATCAGTTTGACCTGTTTTGCTACTTCATTATCATGGTACAACAGCTCGACCAACTGGGCACTGAAAATTGCGTCAGCTGATTATAATCTACAGCTGCCAAGCGCTTTGGATCAATACAACAATGTGTTGCTATAGTCAAAGATTCTCCCATTGCTCTGTTTATGAAGAAATTTCTAAAGGTTGGCAATCTGCCCGTGAACTGGAACTCGACTCCAAGGCGTGCGAAAGAGGGACAGTGGTTACGCCGAGACCCAATGCTTCCTCATCCACCCATCTCTTATAGTCCACGAAAAGGTAATCCAGAAACAATGGGATTAACCGGTCCAGCATTGCTTGCATGATTCTGTAACAAAGAGCAGAAGAGAAACGAAAAATGCGGTGAGTAACAGAGTAAAATGGTAAAACACAAGGGTTTTGCAGACTAAAGCAATGCGTGGAATGTGAACAGGAAATTACGCTTTGCCAGGAACTTCCACCGCTGAAAGAGGCAGCATAGTAAAAGGAACGGTGTAGACCTGCCAGTTCCACACTTGTCAAAAATTTGCATCACTTTTCTGACCTTGAATATCAGCAAGTGCCACTCCAAACAAACATATCAATAGGTAGTACATTTCAATCCTCAACTGAAAACAGAACTATTGTCTATCACCATCAAAGATAAGCACTGCAGTGAGGTAAGGAGATGCCTTTGAAAACAAATTCCTGCTACTACAAGAGTGTAGTCTAATGACGACCATAAACAAACAAACAAAAAAAAAAAAAAAAAAAAAAAAACAGTGAAATTACACCTCCAAGGAGACTTCGAGTTCAGTGTCCAAGTTAAGCACTTGATCTCCTTCAGGGGTGCCGTGCCATGTTAAATGATTCTTCAAGCTGGCTATACACAAAATTAAGACCCGGTTCTATAAGACACTTCAGAGATCGCAAGTAAATCCAATGTATGAGAACAGCATTTATTTAGTAAATCATGTCTTCATCCATGATCTAGAGAGCAGCGAACTTAAGAAGTGTGTAAATTACACATGACTATTGAAAAAGGTACCTGAAAAACGTTTGTTTTGGTCCTCGACAGCTTTGGAACCTTGAAACTGCAAAACAAATAATTCAAAGATCTGACATATGATATGAACGAAAAACAAGTTCATCAACAATATTGCGTTTGAAAGACACAAAATTTAAATAAGCTTCCAGAATAAAAGCAAAGAAATGAATATGAATGTTTAGAAACACCATGCATTGTCGCATCTCCACGCGGCAATCCTTGTCACTCGCAGCAACAAAGAGGTCGACAATGGGAGCAACCTCGAAGTTGAGGAGCACCACTTTCGGCAAGTAGCACCGGTACACATCGTTACCCACATACTCATATCTCAACAAAGCTTTTGTGTTGAGCATGGACTTTGTGCCAGCAGGTTGTTGTAAAAATGAACTCAGGTGATGTGGCACTCCAGAAGGATCGGTGAGCGTTACCAAGGGAACGCTTTCTTGCTTCCTAACAAACAGGTTTGCCCTTCTGTGTTTTGCAGTAACTGGGGTTTGGTGATGCCAGCATGTTTGCTCTCTTGAATGTGTCCTGTATATTGTTATATTTTAAAACTTTATGAAGAAAGAAGAGAAAAATACCATATGCGCAGATAGAAATTACTACTGCATAACCTAACTATAGAGAACTGAAAAAAATATGTGACTACACATGAAACACTCATGCTCCGCAGTTTGAGGATCCACGTTTGAGTCTACATGGCATAATAGGGTAGAAAGAGAACAGCCAATTTATAGATGATACATTTTATGACTTCCAGGGCACATTCCAGGAGAAATTACAGCCAATGCCGACCAACTTCGTTGCGCTTTGTCGATCACGTTCCTATAAGCCCCCTGCAAGCAGCGTGCCAAATAATCAGTCTCGAAGGTCGAAATGGCCCAAATTCTAGTCTTGTCTCCTACGGTTGTCAAGCCTCCATGTGCCATGCCCTGGGGAAAATTTGCCTTAAGCAGACAATTCAGGGCTCAACACTCCAATTTCCAAAATCAAAACCCTGGAACCGTTTCAATGTGATCTTGAATTTTATTTAAAATTTTATTTTTCTCGACGCCACTAGCGATACGACCGAAGAAAAGCAAATGGGGAGCTGCAACAACTTCAAAAAAATTCTTAATTCCATATGTCCCTGCTCTCCTTCCCTCCTCCCTTCTAACTTCGAAGTTCAAGAGCAGATTAGAGGACCAGTTAGCCTCAGTTGCGATGTACGTGTGATTTCTTTGTTTGTTTGTTTGTTTGTTTTTTTTTTTTTTCTTTTTCAATTCTGAAGAGTACTCTAATTGTTCTAATGTGCACAAAGAATGAGCATGAATAATTACATGACGAGCGAGCTATGGAAGACCTATCTCACAATTCAGTAATTTTGTTCAATCCAAAATTCAGAAAACATTGCTCAAAACAAGAATCCAGTCGTTGCAAAGATAGAATTACCACATACTTTGATACGACGTGAGGGGATCAGCGAAGCGGAGGAGGCAAAACAAGCAGCAGTAGCACAATCGCACAAATTTGCCACGCCCACCATTGCCACAGTCATCTCCACTCCCTCTCAAACCCTTCTCACGCTCGGCCTGCCCGAGCGGCAACCGCGCTGCTTCCAACAATCAACCCAGCCTTCAAGTTTCTCTCGAATCTCTATCCCCCGACGCAACAACTGCAACCCGCACTGGCCCATCCGCTGCAACTCCAATTCTGATCCCTCCTGGCGCAGCAATTCATCACACCGAACCACAAGCTCCACCCATCAAATTGCGACCATGAAAAAGAGCGGTGATGAGAGATCAAGTTTGCCAGCGTCGGCTAACGTTAGATTCGACTGTGTTGCGTGAGTGCAATGTAAAGGTGCACCGAGATGCGATGGAAAATCTACCGGATCTGTGAGATACGGCGGGGACGTGGGCGGCCGCCGCGACGACACGCGAACCGAATGAAAGCTTCCCGTTTGGTGAACTATTGATATCCGCTTGCGACACACCAGAGTAGATATATCTGACACGTTCTTCCCACAACTCAAGTTTGACTTCTAACGATATATCATTTCAAAAAATAAAAATAAAAATAAGGATTTTATTTTACTTTTTTGAAAAATCTATCTAAATTCATATATTTCACAGATTCTAATATATTTTCTTTGATTTTTTTAAAAATAAGATTCTTTTTTGATTAAGTAGAATTTTATTATTTATTATTTAAATTAAATATATATAAAAATGCTAAAAAAAATTATATTTGAAATATCTAAAAATTTAAGAAAAAAAATGAAAAAATATTGTAAGTACTCCTAAAATTTGCTGAAATATCAAGTATATCTATGTATTCTTGATAATAACAAATATGCTTGTTATTTTTGTGATAATTGCAAATCTATCCTTGAGGTTGATAAGATATAATCTTATTGCCATTTTGGGTGAATTTGAGGCTCAAACAACATGATACATAGATTTTGGCCTTTTACAAACTAAACTAGTTGTTATATTCCAATCTTGTTACGAAAATGCTCTACTAAGCTACGCTGCATGTTAAAACCATAGAAGTTTCTAGAATTAGGATTAGATTAATGGACCAGGTAGGATCCACCGTGGAACATTCTAAAAAGAATTTAAGGTTGTTATTTAGATGGAGCCTACCATGGAACCTTCTAAGAGTGGTTATTTAGGTGGGATCCACCATCTAAAAATATTCTAAAAAGTCCTAGGTGGTAGGATAACGTATAAATAAGACTAGCCATGGTCTTTTAGGGCATTTGGTTATGTATGGTTTTTGAACTATCTTTCTATTCAATTTTTTTTTTTTTTTTTTTTTTTTTTTTTGTTTTGTTTCCATTTGCTTAGTTTTGTCTTTCATGTCCTATTCTCTTTAGTTTGATTCAGTTTTGTCTTATTTTGTGATAAGAATTTATGTTATTGTGGATTAGAAGGATTTTGGATTTTTGAGATAGTTTAGTCCTATTTCATTGATATCAAAGCATGTATTAGATTGTTTACTTTTGGTAGAGTGTCAATAACATCATCTAGTCTAAGGTCAATTATTGTAGTCACATTGGATACTGTGTTGAAGCTACCACGAGCTACTCTTAAAAAGTCAATCAAGAGGTGAAAAGACATTATAAAAGTGAGTCCAATAAAGAAATTATAGTATGGAAAATATCACAGAGCAGTCTCAGATAGAAGCTCAAATATTACACTTCTTAGGCCGGATAGGTACTTTGCAATGGCAAATAGAAGCCTCAAGGACAAGAGAATCGTCATGTGCTAGGTTGAAATTGAATTAACCTAATACATACTTTGGAACTTCAAGACAAGAAGATGTATGTCAATGGCTCTTCAACATGTGGCAATATCTCCAACTATCTGGGGCAAATACCATTGAAGGAATTATATATGTAGCCAACTATTTGAAAGATGTGGCAAACATTTAGTGGTGACATTGAGTTCAAAGCTATAGAGCTCAAGGTAGATTTTGTGATTGGAAGGAATTTGAGAATAAGTTTAGGATTCAATTTTGGCCCATCAATGCGGAAAAGATAACATGCAATCAGTTGGAAAATCTTACACAAGTTAGGTTGATGTAAGATTATGTCGTATAATTGTAGTTCTTATGTCTCCAAATTGGCAATGTTTTGGAGACAAAAATGATATATTGATTCCTATGAGGTTTGAAACTTAGGTTCTGGTAAGATATGAAGCTAAAGAATCTAAAAATATTTAAAGAAGCAATTCGGATTGCAGAGAGGATTGATACTATAGATTTCAAAAATTAGGGAGTATGACCTATAATACAAAGTCCTATGTTGCTATCTAATATTATGGTACAAGAACCAACGCCAATGGAGATTGATGTTCTACAAGGATCATTGTCACCACAAGAATGACAAATATTGATGCAAAAGAAATTATGTTTCTATTGCCAAAGGTAAGGCCATCAGATCAAAGGTCATCCAAAACATCAAAATTCAAGCACCAAGAAGACAAGGGAGGTTCACAGTCTTGAAATTCACCAAGTTGATAGTGAGTTAGAGCATGAAAATAGGGCTCTCCGGGAAAGGCGTCGAGGGCCAATACTAGGGATAATTATTGTTTCTCAGAGACAAATGAGATAGCCTCAGATATATATATATATATATATATATATATAGATAGATGGTAGTTCCAAATCTTGCGTTAGTGATAGGAAAGATAGCAGAAGGGATAAAATAATATTGTATTGTAATTGCTTATAGTATATAAAAATTAGTTAGAACATATAATATGCTCATAAGTCTTGGTGTGTATTAGAATGGTTAATAGATTAATTTAAAGAGAGTGGATTTAAGAAACTTTATTTTAAATTTTATCTATTTTCATTATGGAATTTAAAAAATTATAGGACCTAAATGTTTAGTATGAAGCCTTGAGAGGAGATTAGAGCCTAAAGATGAAAATATAAACTAGTAGGAAGCTTATTGGAAGGAATGAAAGTAAGGCATGGTCGGATGAAGACAAGAAATGAGAATCTTCATCCTTATTAGTTGAAGGCCATGTCCAATGGGCTTCAAGGAGGCTGCCAGAGGTGTTATTAGGAATTAGAGTTTCTTTTTTGAAGTCATTTGAGTTTTTTAGGCTAGTATTGGCAAGTTTAGGTTTTTGGATACAGATTAGGTGCAAATTTTGTGTGATTTAGAGTTTTTATGAAGGAATTATTGGCGCTCAAAGTTAAGGTATCAATTTCGTACCTATTGGCACTCTTTGGAGCATAACATATGCTTATAGAGATCAAAGAAGGATCGGCAACTAAGGTCGAAGAGAAAAATTTCTTCACTACATTTTTTGTATGTTATTTGATGAATTTAGAGTTTGGATGAAGAAGTTATAGAAAGTTGAAGTCAGCACATCCAAATCAAAGGCAATAAGTAAGTGTTTTTGTTCATAGTAATGGTTGGAGCCATATCTTGAGTTTTTGGACGAATTTTTGGCTCAAACCTTTTAGAAAAGATAGATTATTATGTTAAAAATCTATAAATATAAATTTTGTGGCATTTAAGTGCTTAATTTGTGAGATATAAAGAACATTGCACATATGTGTATAAAAACTAGGATTTGTAGCTACTATTAGAGTTTTGGTGATATCTTAAGATTCGCAACAAATTTACAATTGAAATTTGTTATGATAGTTTTTAAAACTATATCAATACTTCATGTCAAATTTGAGTGTGTTTAAATAGTCCAATTAGAAGATATGAGTTGTTGAAGTTTGGAAATAATACCCCACTAGGATACATAAGGATTTAGAGTTTTTAATCATATTTTGGATGTTTTTGGGAACTTAGACTTATATATTTGATAGAATTTCTCCTAAAAATAATATATATATATATATATATATATATATATATATGTATATAAACTTGGTCTTTTTTTATCTCAAGACTTGATTGAGCAATTAGTGAAATCTAGGAGCCCAGTTCTTTCTCGAAACAAATTCTTTCTGTCTCAACAATAGGTAGAGCAACTCATACAAAAATATCAGGATGTTTTTTCAATTGACCTACTTAGTTTCTTATCTTTTGATTAAGGTGCCCCATTTCAAATAGAACTATTACTTGGAGCCAAATCAGAAAGTCGACTAATTTATTACCTAGTACCAAAAGAACTTGAAGAGCTTTAGAAGACATTGGACAAACTCTTAGAGAAAGGCCTCATTTGAGAAAGCACATTACTATAGGGAGCACTTATATTCTTTGTACCCAAGATGGTAGACCCCGCCTTTGCATTGACTATTGAGGCCTCAATAAGTAGATTGTTAAAAATTCATAACTACTTCCAAGCATGGATGATCTTCTTTATCACCTTTAAGGTGTAACCATCTTTAATAAATTAGATCTTTAGAGTGGCTATTGGCAAACACCTATTGCAAGAGAGGATGTGAAAAAGATGGCATTTTGTATGTCCTACAAATATTTTAAAAGGTTGGTTTTATCCTTTGGCCTCACCAATGCTCCAATCTCTTTCATGAGTGAGATGAATAGATTGTTTTGACACCTTTTAGACAAGTATGTAGTTATCTTCATTAATGATATCCTTATATATAGTAAATTTTTTAAAGAGCATGAATAAAATCTACAATAAGTGTTGTGCCAACTACAAGATAGTTGCTTCTATTGCAAGCACTCAAAGTGTAAATTTTGGAAGTCAAAAATCATCTTTTTGGAACATGTAGTATCCTTCGAAGGCATGCATATGGAGCAAGATAAAGAAAAAATAATAGAAGATTGACTAATCTCGAAGGATGCTTCTAAAGTTCTATTTCAAAAAGTAAATTTATATATCTGATAATGCTAAACTTTGGATGCACATACTTCAAGAAGGACATGACATCTCAATATCTAGACATCTTAAATGAGCAAAGATTTTAGAATGGATCTCAAGGACATGGTTTTAGGCAAGTTTGGATTGTGATGTTCAAGACTTTATATGCTCTTATGAGTCATGTCAATGTAATAAAGTATGTAATGCAGCGTTTTCTAGATTATTGCATCTAATTTTACTACCTATGACACGTTGGGAGTAAGTGACTATGGATCTCATTATGTTTTTGTAGCAAATGATTTATAATCAAATTAAGGTTGTTGTCTTTGTGGATTAACTCTCAAAGCAAGTTCACTTGGCCATAATGCGCTTAGATATTGATGCTCCAATATTTCCACAAGTCTTCTTTGATATTGTCTTTTGTTACTATGGATTACCTTATGTCATTGTTTTAGATTAAGATCCACACTTCAAGGGAAGTTTTTGGCAAGCCTTATTCAAGCTATTAGGCACATGACTTGTCATGTCTACAACTTCCATTCCCAAATAG